TGGCCGACAGTGCTGAGCGCTGCCCGTTCGGCCACCCAGGCTCCCTCCTGCCCCAGCGTGTCCACCTCGTGCCACCAGGATGAGGCGTTGAAGGCGGCCACCTCCAGCGCATCACCGCAGGCTGGCAACGGGAGATGGCAGGCTGAGAGCCCGAGACCCCCAACCGAGCACAGCATGGGGGGGTGGCACCGGGTTTTGCAGCCAGAATTGGGGCTTAATTGCAGGGGAAATGGGGAAAAAAATACCTTTGTGGAATATGAGCCGTTTCTCGGAGAGGGATCCTCTGCGGGGAGGAAAGTGGGGGGGAGCGTCAGAAAAGGGAGTCCCTATGTGAACAAATCCGGGGGTCTCCAAAATGGAGGGGTGGCGGGTCCCCGATGTCAGCATGGATGGTCCCACGGCCATGTGTGGGGTGCAGCCGGGGTCCCCACGCCCCCACTCCCCCACCTCACCCACCTTTTGGAGTGGAGCCCGTTGGCGAAGGCCGACTCGTAGAGCGTGATGCCCTTCTCCCGGGACAGGGTGACCTGCCCGCCCAGCTCGTCCGCGATCACCCCGGCGTGCACGGCCGCCTTGCACAGCACCGAGGTCTGCGGGGAGCAGGGCAGGGGTGAGAGCAGTCCCCCGCAAGGTGGGGGGGTCAGGCACCCCATGGCCAAACCCATCCCTTGCAGTCTACTGGGGGGTGACAAGCAGTAGCCGCGCGTGCTGGACACCGTCCCCAGTGCAGGGGTGCCCCACGGGGCGAGCCGGGCTCGGCACTTACCGCCCGGGAGCCCTGGCTCGGGTTGCCCCAGATGTCCCCGTCGATGTCCTTGCAGCCGGCAGGGCAGTACACACTAACGAAACCGGGGCTGATGGGGACCGGCAGCGATGCCCGGGTGGGGGACGCCAAAGCGGGGACGGCTCACACCCCCATGGCCACTCACCTGACGTGCTCCTGCGTGTAGTGGGTGCCTCGAACCAGGCAGGAGACCAGGTCTGCAAGGCAGGGACCCCCCAGGGTGAGGGCCCCCCACCCGCCCCGCAGCGCCCACCTCTGCCCCAGGGCAACCTGTCCCAGAGGGGCAGGGAGGGATGTCCCCTCAGTCCCTGCAGCCATTGTCCCCCTGCCAACAGCTCTGCCTGATATTGGGGTCCCAAACTGGCTTGGTGGCCCTGGGGGTTTCCCATGTTTTGCCCCAGCCAGGGAGAACACAGGTCTTCAGGGAGCTTGGGGAGATGGAAGCCCACCCTGAGGTCAGCAAGGAGCTGCCTGCACCCCCAGCTGTGCCCCCGCCATGGGCTGAGACACAGCCCGTGGGGGTCTTTGCATCCCTGGGGGACGCTCCCCCCTACCTGGGTGCTGCGAGGTGGCGTAGGACAGGAGGAGGCCTCGTCCCGAGCGGTGGCTGGTGCTGTTGAACAGGACGGTCACGGTGCTGGAGTTTGTCAGCAGGAGCGGGGCGGTGGGGACGGCGTTCCTACAGTAGGGCCCTGCCGGCAGGGACGGGGCCGTGGAGAGGATGGGGCTCCTCGGGGACAGGCACGGGGCCCCAAATCCCGGGGGGTCACCTCCCCCAGCTCCGCCCTCCCCCGGGCCAA